GAGATTCTGCAAACTTTAAATTAATTGATTTTAAAGTTACGATGTATCATGTCTTTATATCATTTTACTATTATAAAAAATTAAATATGTAATATATAGTATAAATTTTAATTTTATTAAATTTATCATATAATTTTTATTAGATATTTTAATAATTTTTATTAGATATGCTAACATGTTTATTGTGAAAGACTTAAAATTTTCCTTTTTGTCATAAGATATTTTTGCATATTAAATTTATTCCCTCTATTTTTAATAATACTAGTAGTTCTCAATTGATGTTTCCATGCGAGTGGCTAAATATCAAACTGTCATTACTCATTTTGTATCCATCATGTTCGGGTAAAGGATCCTTGTCCCTGTATAGAGCAGGCGGTGTATTTTAAGGCTTGGGATAATAGTTCCTACTTTCCGTTTTTATTTTTTTATTTTTGATATTAACATTTTGATATCTGATAATCACATTAAATTTCATTAATTTAAAATTAAGTTACGTTGAATCTCATAAAGGGAACTTCTTAACACCTGTTTTTTTATTCATAAGAATCAAATTCAAAACCTTATTTAAAAAGAATCGACTTCCTTCTATTCAAATTAACAAATCATTAAAATTTTTTTTTTACATATAAAAAATAAAATTGGCAAAATTTAAATCTTAAATTTTTAATGAGTATCACGTTTCTCAAAGACGATATGGCCATTGGGCCACAATATGGTTGGCAAAGGTTCCTAACTTTAAAGATTACGCTTTTGAGTTTTCGTATTTTTGGCTTTTTTGGTGCTTTCAACTTCTAACTTTGAAAGTTGAGAATGAGAATAATAAAAATAGAACCGCAAACGTTGAATGAATCGCTCCATAGTTCCTTAATTCTATGCATTTTGTTTAGAGGCTTTCACATGGAGTTTTGTTGTCGTTATGTTTTAGAATGCAACCACGGAATATGCGAAGAAAGAACTGGGCTATGTAGTAGTTACCATAATTCTTGGCTGATTCTCCGTTTTCTTGCACTTGAAGTTGTTTGATTTGCCGGCAGCATGCACGCACTGAAGAGGTTCTTCTTGGGAGGGTATATATGCTCTGCTCGCGCACTTTCATGAACCAAATATGCGAATTAAAATTTAAATTGCACCCCAAATGGGGGGGGCACAGTTATGGCCTACAACAAAGTGCTAGGCTACTCAAATTATATATTGCTTTTGTTTAGTTTAATTAATAGAAATAATTGATAATTGCAACTGTTAATTAATTAATTATAAAATAATTAATATTTATTATTTAATAAATTAAAATTAATATATAAATTAATATTTTTAAATATTATTATTAACTGTTTATGATAAAAATATTTTGATTTATGTAATCTTAACGTGAATGTGTGGCCATAACTATGTTCCTTGAATGGCATCTCTATCATAATCCTACATGCAGGCGCAATGGCCATGCCACGGTCCCTGGTGGGTTCACCAGGTAGAGGCAAGAGATTAAGCCCCACCAATGGCACTCTAAAAATACCCCCTTCCCTCTTATTTCCGTTAAGTTCAGAAAAAGGGAAGGGAATCTCTATCAAAAGCTCCACCAAACATGCCCAATTATCTGGCTGCTGGTTGGCCATTGATGATAGGTTTTGGGTTTTATTGTTTTGATCGAACTTGAGAGAAATATATGAAGGCCTAAGGGACACTGATTTTGCTTCCTGTGGCCAGGGCCCAAGGCCAACTCTGGCTTCTTGGGCTCAACAACCTACCATGCAGTTAAACCTCTTTCCAAGCGTACTTTCAAACATCCATGTGTTAAGCCCAACTTCATACAAATAGGGACACATCCGCCCCTCAATTAACCGACTTGAATTAATTTATCCGCTGTCCGTCGGCAAGCTGCTTGAAGCACCAGCAACCGGAGTCTCTTAAGGTCACTCTGCAAATATAAAAGACAGTCTGCTGAAGAGGGTCTTTACAATTGAAGACCGTCTCATATGGGTAAGATATCTCATTAATTAGAGATGGCCTTATATAAACAGGAACGACCTCCAACACTAGTCTGGCCCCATTTTCACCATCGGATTATGTGCTTGATATGGACAGTACGGCCCAAGAAAAGCTGGTGAAATTTTTGGTGCCTGTTGCCACTGTCTGCCGCCTAAATCACTGCAATCGCTAATCAGGGTTTCTTTTTTTCTTTTCTTTTCTTTTTTTTTTTTTTGTTACAAAGAGCGAAATATGCACTAAGTGAAACTAAGTTTTACATGTTGTCTGATACACAACATCGCCAGTCCTATCTTGAATAAAATAATTCATACAGAAATCAGGAACAGAGTCAAAAACAGAAAGTTGTTCCCTAAAGATGTGCCTAATGTGCACTTGGTCTAGTAGCTGGATCAATGACCAGCAGGATTTAAGCAATGAGTCGAGAGAAGAAGATTAATGAGAAGAACCATTATCAGTAAAACAAGGAGTTAGAAACTAAAAAGAAGAAGAATAATTTGAAGAAAGGTTTATTACTTTATTGAATAATATTGTATGTATAATGACCTATATAAATCTTAAGAAGATTATAAGCAGGAGGAATACAATGTAAACATTCATATGAAGACTTATTGTTGATCATTGAGGATGGAATCCGATTAATGAGATAAACAACTGTAAGAGTAGCTTCACCCCAACATCACTCTAGATAAGAAGATGAAATGAGTAGATCACGAACAGAATCAAGGATATGTCTGTGTTTGCGTTCGGCTCGCCCATTTTGTTCAGAAGTGTAAGGACAAGAATGTTGTGTTAGTGTACCCTGTTCTTTGAGAAAAAAAATTCAAGTTTAGTACTAAGATATTCAATGGCATTGTTAGTTCTCAAAACTTTGATAATTTTAAAGAACTGAGTTTTGACCACGATAGCAAAATCAATATAAATTTGTGGTAACCCAGAGCAATTTTCCATAAGATATATCCAGGTAAAACGAGCATGATCATCAATAAATAACAAGAAGTACCTGGAATCCCCATGGTGGGTATAGGAGATGGACCCCAAACATCAAAATGCACGAGATCAAAAGAAGCAATAGAATGAGAATGACTACTCGAAAAAGATAAAGCTGGTTGCTTTGCAAATTGACATGACACACAATGCAAAGATTCATTCTGAATTGATCTTAATAAATCACGAGAGATAAGTGGACGAAGTTTACCGATTAAGGTATGTCTGAGCCGTGAGTGTCACAAATGGAGAGGAGAAACGTTAGTAGCAACATAGGCTTGCAAAATTTGTTGGTATAGAATTTGTAAAAACTCTAATTCAACAGCACAAAGTAAGGTTTGGATGAATCGATCATTTGGAAATGATAGTGTATCCATTTTATTATCAGGAATATGTAAATATATAGTTGAGCTCAAACAAATGCCCCACCTTGTGACTAGTTCCAAAAAGTTGTCTTGTCCGTGGGTCCTGCACACGACAACCATGAGTAGAAAATTTGTTAGAATATTATTTTTATATACTTTATACCTTAAACTATTCTCTTAGTAAATACTTATATAAAGGTCATTATATATATAGTATTATTCAAGAAAGCATTACACCTTTCTTCAAGATCCAGATCACATAACTAACTGATAGATAGAAGATTATAATTAAGTTTTGGAACTAAGAGGGCATTTGGTAAAATCAATGACTTTGTAGAAATATTGCCAACGTAACTAACATTCATAGGGGAACCATCAGCAAAATAAATATCAGGAAAGGAATTATTTGGTGACATTGAAGAGAAATGAGCAGTAATTGAAGACATATGGTTACAACAACCAGAATCAAAATACCAAAGTTTGGTAACTGGAGTAGTAGATAAGGTAGTATGAGCATTAAAAAGATTTAATATCACATGTTTTAGGGATTCAAGGTTGACATTAAGTTGGTTTATCACTTTTTTAGTAACCATAACAGTAGCAGGATGAGTTATAATCCTTTCAAAACTTGCCATTTCTGGTTTTGAAAACTCACAATACTAAAAAAACTCTAAAGAATATGAAGAAATAGTGCCAAGATCGAAATAACAAACCAACAAAATACTTTAGAAAGGACTAGCGAATCGAGAATAAACAATCCAATCTGTAGAAGAAGAGATCCCTATGACAAAGTTTCATATTTGAAATAGAATTGAAAATCCAACTCCAAAACCAAAGAATGATGATAAGAGAAAAGAACCAAGAGCTTATAGCTCTGATACCATGTTAGAAACTAAGAAAAAGAAGAATAATTTGAAGAAATGTTTATTGTTTTTTAGAATAATATTGTATGTACAATGACCTATATAGGTATTTATAAAGAAAATACTCTAAGGTATAAAGTACATAAAGAAAATATTTTAAAGTATAAAATATATAAAAAATATATTTTAAAATATAAAATAAATTATTAATATTTTATATAAATATGATGTATAAAATTTATAAGTAAATAAATTTCTGCTCATTATAAAATGTGCCTCTCTCGCGTGACAAACTGCAAAAAAAAAAAAAGAAAAAACACACCGTCTTTATTTTTTAAAAGCCTGAGAAACCAAGGTATCTGATGCTGGTTTGCTGCCCATCACCTGTCTTTCTTATATTTTAGTTATTTTATAGTGGGTCATCCGGGAGATCCGGTGGTGTCGAAGCTTACCCAATACCCAGAGATTGGATTGACTCGGTGCATGTGAAAAATTGGCCATCCGAGACCAGGAGGACGACTTGGGTTTTGCCACATCAGCCATAGGTGGAATTCGGACAGTGGCTGAATTGTTGGCAAAGCCGTGTCGACTGTCGACACGGCGAGGTAAAGATGGTGAAAACCCTTGGATTGGACCCTCGAAAGGCTCAACAGAATATCCTCAATTGGAGATTCTAATTCGCGATGGGGTCGGTCGGGGACCGCCAGAACAGTGCGACGTTTAGGAAAAAGATATTAGTACTAAGATATTATAATAACACATAAAATTATATATTTAATAAAATATAATATGATATTAAATGAGTAAATATATATTATTAGA